GAGCGCGGTAGGGAGAACAACAGCTACTGTGGGGGAAACACACATGGTTTGGAAGGAAATGTGTTTTCCATGGGTGGCCTGGATCTCCAGCCAGGGTGGCAGGAGAAGACCTCTCCTTTACCCCTTGCAGCTCTCAGCAGGGCTGCCTGCGGGTGCTGGGAAGGTGCAGGCTGCCTTGTCCTGGTATGGACACACCGGGAAAGCTCTGAGCTCTTCCACTTGGTTAAATTTGTCACTCTGGCTGCAGCTTAGAGAAAAGCCTTCCCCTTCCCCGCCCTCCTGCCATCAAGAAGCTGCTGAAGGAATCAGGTCGTTGATCCCGCAGCAGCGAGGCCCCTAATTAGCCTGGCTTCTCGGAGTCTGCTGGGAAAGCCGGCTGTGTGCGAGGCAGCTTGGGGACCCATGGTCCCCGGTGTGGGGGAGAGGGGCCCCACGCAGGCAGAAGCCTGGAGAAGGAGGGAGAAAATGGCAGTGCTTCAATGCATTAAATATGAGGAGAGACTGCTGCTTTCTCCCCATGTCCCTGTGCCTGGGAGGGGAGAAAAGGACGCACTTTCTGGGTGACAGCGGGGGCAGATGAGCATGGACCTGGGCTCACTGCAGGCAGGGAAAGCAGCAAGGAGGGGCAGCTCTCCCCAGATTCCTCTCGCAGGCACGGCGCGCATGTGAGGCCCCAACTCCCCTGGGCCTTGCCTCTCGCACACATTTAATAACGATTGCTGGGCTGGGTAATAAAATGCTCTTTAACAGCGAATCGATCTGGCAGCCTGGGTGGGCAGGGACCGCTGGCTGCCAGCCCCGCGCAGCCCCAGTGTGGTGGCAGCACGGGGGCCCTGCCGCAGTGCTGGCAGAGCTCCTGGGTGGGATGCGAAGGATGAGGTTTTTTCCCCCTTGTAGCATGAAGTGGTTTCCTGAGGCTGGGGTGGCATTTCCCATTCTTGGGGTGGCCGGTGATACAGTGGTGTCAGGTCCCTGGTGGCCTGGGACACCTTGGTACCTGTGGCTGCGGTGTCCTTGGGGTGAGACACCCCTCCCCCGGAGAGATGAGTCCCAGCATGGGATCTGCTCCCCAGGGCAAGGGCCAGCACCTCGCTGGGGGTGGCTGGTGTCCCAGGACACGGCAGCTTTTGTCTTCTTGTCCTTGTGGTCCCCAAGCGGTGGTGGGGGCAGCCTGTGCCCCGTGGCACAGGGCACAGCACGCAGGGCCATGCACGCTCATGCGTGAGGACGCGTGCCCACGGTCACTCGGGACCGTTCATGCTGCGGGGCAGGGCCGTGCCAGGCGGGGCGGTGTGCATGCTGATGAATGGGCATGTGCACAGCAGGACACGGGGACATTTGCGGTGTTACGCCGGGACACGCGCAGCGGCGTACGGTGTCGTGCCCGCCAGCGCGTGAGGCCGGGTTCACGCCAGCACACGGGGATGTGCGCACCGGGACACCGGGACCTGCGCGGGGCTACACTGGGACGTGCACACCAGGACAGAGGGATATGCGGACGTGCACGG